TGTTTCATACTGTCTGGCCAATTTGATACTGTTTTGCAGCCACCGAAACATCTGCTTGGAGATTACACCCGAACCCCTCCTGGCTACTGGCATGCGGATGGTGTTCCTCCTTACTGTGGCGTCCGTAGGCTTAGTGTTCATACTAAATTTCAACATGTCCTCATTAATTATGCAAATGACCTCTACATTAACATAATATATGCATAGTGGTGTTGACCTTTAAGTAACTTACACATGTCACAAGGTATAAAATTCCCATCATTTACCAATAAGGATTCACAGAATTTTCACATTAATTATGCAAATTAGGTCATCATTTGCATAATTAGTATCTGTTGATGTTCCGCCTGCCACAGATTAAATAGGTTACATGTATAACAGTACTATTATATGAAACACTAATTATAGAATTTCCTCCTTAATTATGCAAATTAAGTCCTCAGTTGCATAATTTGCATATAATTATGTACAACTATTTCTCAGCTACCTACGTACCAAAATGAAAAATACGTTGTTCCTATCTGGACTTATTGGCTTTTAAAGATTTCGCCAGAAAGTTCACTGCAGTTCGAGAACAAGCTGCTAGGGGGACAAAACCCACACCACTTATTCCTGACAGAAAAAGCTATCTGCCACTAAAAAATCAAGACCATACTATGTTCAGGACAAAAGATACAAAAACCGGAAGTTCTGCTGCAGTACCAAGGCCAGCCACCAGGAGGCCAATATTTGACCTTGACCTTTGTCTTCCTAAGACCTACTAACGCACCAAATATCATCACGATCCATAAAGGCGTTCTGAAGTTATGCTGACTACAAATGTGTGGAAACACAAACACACAGACAGAGACACACTGACATGCCAAAAACAATAACTCCATTTTTCATTGAAGTAAAAAGGCTGCGATTGCACGTGCACGGGTAATGTTTGACCATTAAACCATTTGTATTAGTTTTGTTATTCTTATTATCATTACTGTGATTGGGGTGAATGGGTTGTCAGAAGAAGAGAGACTGTGATTACAAGAGTCACCGACAACGTTTACAAAATTTAATCTTTCGTAACGTTTTCCTCGTAGATTGGATCGGCTTCTGGTCCCACGACTCGTCGTACCCGGCATACAGGCACCACTATCAGACATACCGGTCAGCCTACTACAGGTATCCACACTGCGGGGCCTGCTACTGCAACACTACAGGCAGCACAGTGTCCTGTTCGTCTGCATCCTCAGTGTACGTTTCCCCTTTTCTTCTTTTTGCATGCGAACAGATAAATTACTTGTCGTGATTGTTATGGTACTGACATCTTCAGCTCTAGTCTTGCTAGACGGTCTACAACAAGAAATTCTGTTGTCTTCTGAAAGTGGTTAACATGCCGAAACTGTCTGTTTCCATGCCGGAACGTGGATGGCAGATAAATATGAAGTGAGGAGACACGACAAGGCTCTGATTTATTGTTTTGTCTTTTATTTATTTATTTATTACTCCGTGAAGGAGGTCAGGACCTCCGGACGGAGTGTTGTAATCGGCTGATTTTTCATGTTCGCAGTCAAAACACTGGGTTCTCTTTGTGTAATCGGCACGCAATTTTATACGCCGTCTGCGGGCATGCCCGTGTTGATGCACGAATGTGTATTTTTGCCGTTGCTGCTTTCGCGGTCAATGTAATATCGCAGACGCACCCCTACAATTACGAGGCGAATTGGAATGGTCCAGAAAAACGCGTTGTTTGGAATAGCAGTGGGGTTCAAAAAAGTTCATGCAGATACGGGGTGGTTTTTATAAGTGGTTCCAGATGTTTTTGCCCATGGTTAAGAGATGCCAAGTTTTTTGGAAGATGTTCGCAGCCAAAACGCATTCTTCCGTACGTCGCATTTCTGTGTAATTTCGCATGTGGTGTTGCATTATGTCCGGGATGATGCACGTTCTTTTTTATTTTTACCGTAGCTGTTTTGATATTGGAGTAAATGCTTATTTTCGAAACATCCCCATTTCTTTGAAATGGTTTCGTCCGTTTATGCAACTGTTACTGCGCTAATGACGACCAGTCGCGCTGTCCTGATACACCGCGAATGTGCGAGTGCTCCCTGTAGACAGTCCCGGGAGTCATTTTTTTGCACATTCCAGGAGCCAAACCAAAATACGTTCATGAACCGAGTCCAAAAAACCGAAACGTGAAAATCGGATGATCGGACCTGATGTACATTTCTCTTTCTATAGATTGTACACACAATACACACATCTTTAGATAATCTGGCCATGGCAGGTTAAAAAAAAAGTAACCCTGAATCATACTAGATTAGCGTAAATGCATGTTAATGCGTTCAAAACAAGAAAAAAATTGTTTCCGGGTATTAATCTCTTGAATCACGGCGCTGAATATTGACGCAAAAATATTTCGGGCATCGCGCGCCCTTCCCGCGTCACGTGTAGGCATCTCGCATCTCTGATTGGTTGTTGCGTCTTAAGATGACTGAGCCGACGCGCGTTTAAACAATTTTTCTTTGTTCGATTTATCACACTTCACAGAGAATTGTCGCCAATGGCTACTTCTTTTTGTTGCAATATATAATACTTCACGGAGAATTGTCACCTATGGCTTCTTGTTTTATTTATTACGATTGACCACATACATAATATACATGGAGGGCATGGTGGAACAGGTGCACCTAAGAAGTGCACCTTTTCAAGGCCACCATGCTCACAACCTTGACAACTTTTACTTTGATGCAGTGAAGCATTTCATTCCTTTTATCTGTCATGGATCAAACCATTTGTACAATGACTGAAAACTATTTTCACTGACAAATGGATGTTGTAATAGTTGGCTGTAAACATAGCACAATATAGGTATCATTTCTGGTTTAACAAGATTTATGATGTAAAAATTTGTAAATGTAGAAACCTTGCTTTTTTGTCTCGCCTTGTTTTTTTAGATTTGGAGTCTGCGCAGGATATTATTTCTGTCCTTAGTAAACAGGATAAAAATGGATGCTCTTGATTTTTGGTAGGCGAGTTACCTCTGTAGAGACCAAGGCTAAGTTCGAACATGGGCTTAGTGCAGATGTAGAAGCACGGACGAAATTCAATAACATATGTTTCTTTTCTATAGGAGCCTGAGGGGGATCTCTTACCGGTTTAACCTGACCAAGACTACCTTCTTGCCTACCGTTACCTCTATGTAAGTGTACCATTTTTCATTCATGAACAAGCTGCATTGATATTAGCACTAAAACAGTTTTATATCTGTTTAAGTGTATATTGATAATGGATGTAAGATATTGTTTAATTGTGCACTTGTCAAAAATGTATATCAATAATTGATAGAAGAAGAACTTTATTGCACGACAAATGCACATGGTACATTGATATAAGATATTGTTTGATTGTGTAATTATCGGAACGAAGTAAGAAAGATACAGGAATATTTTGACATGTTTAATAGATGTTTAGTACATGTAAATTATGAATAATGAGTCCCAAATGAAGTTAAAAGAATCCCAAAAGTGCTTTTATATGGACAACTGAAGCAGTGGAATCGCAACCAGGGAAGACATTGATGCCAATTCCTGGGAAGCAATCGCATTGTAGATAAATTTCCCTGTAATCCAATATGTGTAGATACGTAAATATTGAACATTTGGGAATGCATCTGTAGCAGCGACACCTGTGCTGCAATGCAATCTGAATCAGTCAGAATTGCCCTGAGGAAGGTGACAGACGGTCACCGAAACGTCGGCTGAATAAAAGACTTGGTTGTGTGAAAGGAGTCTCTTTACTCAGAATTGTCTGGAGACGTCAGTGTATACACTGTACCAACAGAGCAGCTGCCATCCAAAAGAAGAAAGAGAGGAGGAAACAGCACTTCTCTCCCGTCTATTCCTGCCCTTGCAGCATCTGTGGCCGCTCATGTATGTTCGTCCGCAATTTTGTAACTATATGAAGAGACTTTTTTTACACAACCATGTCTTTTATTCAGCCGACGTTTCGGTGACCGTCTGTCACCTTCCTCAGGGCAATTCTGACTGATTCACTACAGCACAGTTGTCGCTGCTATAGATGCATTCCCAAACGTACAATATTTACATATCCACATATATGCGTGGTTACAGGGAACTGTATATACAATGAGGTCCCAAACATGCGGGAGTTGGATATATTCACAATTGTGGTCAGTTATGCATCTATAGCAGCGAAACCTGTGCTGCAGTGCAATGTGCACTTGTGAACTAGTCAGAATTGCCCTGAGGAAGGTGACAGATAGTCCCTGAAACGCGAATGTAAAAAGAGTCTCTTTACTCAGTGACTTACCAACCTCATGAAACTATTTACGGAAGCGTCCAAAATCGGTCTTGTCTTCATTCCCACATGAGGACCCACCTCGGCAAATGACCCGTCTGCCTACCCAGCCGTCAAAATGGACAGGAGACTCCATCAGTAAATTATGAATAATAAAATCTATTGTATTTTTCTCGCCCCCAGAGCCATCTATAACTCCGGACTTTATTACAGTGAAGATGGAGCCTTTGACCTGTTGTCAAGTCTGGGAAGTTTGTAAGTACTAAATCAACTCTCAATTGTAACATTATAACATATAAATTGCATTAAAAATCTTTATTAAGCACATTAGTCTACCCTGGAACAAGCTGATACAATGACCGTTTCCAAAATCACATCCAGTTGCTTGTGAATGAGTAACTGCTTTTTGGCGTATCGTATTACCTGGATGTCTAACCTTCATCGACGTACCCATGACTAGAATAATCAATATAAATATAGTGAGAATACTGAGAATACGTAAGTCCATAGCTTATAAAATGACGGTAGTAGCTACAAATGACGTGAGCCGAGGTATATAGTCGTGTAAAGAAGAGATATAAAATTTCCTTTCTGAAGTACGTAGTTTTGAAGTTCATAGATCAATTACAAAGATGAGAGTTTGTAGTCAAAAATTGAAAATATAATTGAGAAGATACAAAATAATCTCCCGCGACCAGAGGTTTTGTCTATTCTGTTCTAATGATTTAGAATACGAACGACATTTTGTATATGGATTGTGCAGTATATGATGATAAACGCACAAAGCTGTTCAACCTTCTCTCCGCTTGCTGAATACACTTCATGCTATAGATAAATTCAATTTCATTCTAGAAGGCAATAACCCTTACCGTGTACAAATAGGTAAATATATCAAAGAATGTTTAGACCTTAGAACAAATAGTATAAGTAAGTTGATTCATCTATTGTTTTGTACGTAGGTCAATTTTGTTGTACCCACGTTTACATGCCACAGCAAGTAATTCTTATGGATGACATCAGCGTACGCATTAATTTTCGCCTGATTTTGGGAAAAAAACAATAAATTTTGTTTCCCTCTGACAGTGGTCAGTACATGCCAAAAATGGACAAAGATGTCTGTTGCCATGCCGGAAGGTGGATGGCAGATAACTATGAAGAAGGGGGCTAGACAAGAAAAGACTCTGATTTAAAGTTTGTTTCTTACTTTGATGCAGTGACATGTGATGCTGGCTGTGTATATGTGATGTTCCCACTGAATCAAAACCATTTGTACAATGATTGAGTCAAAATTTTAAATGTAGAAACCTTGTCTTTTTCGGCCCTCCTTGTTTTTTATTGCCCGCTCTGCGGAGGATGTCATCCATAAAATTTACTTGCTGTGGCCTAAAGACATTACGAAAGTCGCTGTACATTTTGTTGTGCCAATAAAGTTCTATAAAAATGCATAATCTGAAAAAGAGGGATGAATGTATCAGTTGCCCCATTTTTTTTCGACAGGACGCTCCATGCAACAAATCTACTAAACTTTCCTGACGTCTCTCTCTGCACTGTGCTGACGAGACTGTAAGTATCCTTTAATTTCTGCACATTGGAATAAATATATTTGTGGCGTCGGGTGGTGTAGTGGTAGATCATTCGACTGTGAACCGGGAGACCCGGGTTCGATCCCGAGTTGTACCCGGGACATGTCTGGACATGCGCCCCAACGTTGTGCCCTTGGGAAAGGCACTTTACACGACTTTCCTCACTCCACCCAGGTGTGAATGGGTACCTGACTACGGTTGGGGAAAGCCGTATTGAAGTCACCTTGTGGCGCCGAATATCATGTGTATTATGTTCTTATTATGTGTATTATTACCATTAGTATCATTTTACCATTGTAAACCCTGCATCAATTCAGCACTACACGGCTGCGATTGCACGGGTGATGTTTGGCCAATAAACCATTTATTATTATTATATCATTATTATATATATTGAGATGTTTTTTTTTGCAAATTCATGCCCGTATGTACATGTCATAAATTCTTGACCTTAACATAGTGCATACAGATTTGATGTCACGAGTTACACGAATAGAACAAATAAGAGTATCCATTAGAATCTAGTGAATAAAAAATGTTTCCGGTGTCACAGAGATCTCCCCCCCCCCCCGTGAAGTCATCCAATGCAATTTCAGGGTGACCAACGAAATTTTGTATATGGATTGCGCAGTATACGATGATAAACAGAGATCGGAACTTTTTGGCAATCTTGCAGATTTACTCGGTCATCTTGTCAACCTTGATAATATGTCAGATAATGCTAAACTGCACTTTATTCTTAGAGGCTCCTCAATGTTACCCTCTATGTACAACTTTAAAACGATGCAACTCACTCAGACTTACATTGGAGATACCATGCGCTTCTAGCTCTGCTTGACTGTTTCTAACAGTCAATTAGATATAGAAGTCCAAATACAACGTAAGTGTTAATGGGCCTAAATTTCCCCTCCTAGCTCTGATTGGCGGATGTTTTTCCGCCAATGAGATATAGGAGGTTACCATGTAATCTTATCTTTCAAATAGCTCTGTTAGCATTTAATTTAACATTTTAATGTCTTGGGGTGCTTGGACTACGGCGCACGGATATGTCAACTTTGTATATTTGATATTAATTGTACCTTTTTTGTTGTGTGGCGCTGTTAATATAAGTTGTTAACTTGAGTGCAGCGCCACACTGTCCTTGTTATGTCTTTTTGTTTTGATGAATAAAAAAAAAGATTTCAGGGTGTCAAAATTGGAAATATTCTGAATAAGGCAATCTGTATGATACTGACACATACTGCCCAACATGAGCACATTTGCATCAGTATTTCATACTTTGAGCAAAACTTCAGAAACAAGCCTCAAAATTAGACCTTTATTTTCTGGGTGGTACCCTAAAAATCAATCCAGGTCCTTCCAGTAACCATTTTCGTCAGAATTTTTGGCATTTTTGCTCCATGAATGCCGATATACATTTGGACGTCCAGTCTTGTTTCAACTTTGCATGTAGATAAGTGAGTAGAAAATTGACTTTGAAAAATCTGGTTTCCAAGGCCTAAAAACTGCATTGTATGCCTTTTATGAGACGTTCTTACGAAGAACTCAGCACAATACGAGGGGTGATCAAAAAGTTCTCGGCCTCACCTAGAAAACGTCATGGCAGTAAAGTTTTTCTTACACTATTTTTTAATATAGTCCTCTCTAACTGCAATGCACTTGGTCCAGTGATGTTCCAGCTTTATTTTCCCCTTGTGGAAGAAGGTTGCATCTGGACCCCCCAGATTGGCCTATACCGCATAAATGACGTCATCATTACCATCAAAACGTTGACCACGTAAGTGGAACTTGAGTTTAGGAAACAGGTAGAAGTCCAAGGGTGCTAGGTCAGGTGAATTGGAAGGGTGGGGTTAGACTGCAAACCCAAATTCGTTTGCTGCTGTCACTGACCCCTGTGTTGTGTGGACAGGTGCATTGTCAGCACGCCAGCTCGGTGCTTCCTCTCCTTTTCTCTTTGATCGTTGTCCTCAACTGTGGTAATTCTGTTGAATAGTACTCCCCATTGATGCTTTAACCCCTTCGCAGGTAGCCAATCATGATTATTTCCTAACTGTCTCAGAAAACAGAGACAAAAACCCTGTCAACGGACGAAAGTCGCTAAAACTTCGTGGGGGGCCGGGAAAAATTCTTCATCCATTGTTAGCTCTGCTGTTTTGATTCGGGGTGAAAGTGGTGAACCCAGCTCATCTTGGGTTACAAATGTTTTTAGGAAATTGCATTCATTGGACTGAATTCGTTTCTTGAAATGTCCCGCCTGTTTAACTTCTGATGTTCAGAAAACATTCGAGGCACCCACCTTACAGACAGGTCGCTCATCCCCAGGATGTTCGACAAAACATTGTGAACTGAGTCATAACACAGGCCAAAGAACCTGCTACATGTTGGACAGTCTCGCATCTGTCATTTACTACCATGTGATGGGTGACCTGAACTGGATTGTCCGTGGTGCTGATTTGTGGCATCCTGACCTATGTTCATCTTTTGTGCTCTCCTTGCCGCGCTTGTAGCAAGCAACCCACTTCGTTATAGTTTAATAAGAAGGGGAGTCATCACCAAGTGTCTTGACCATGTCTTCATGGATTTCCTTAGGAGACATCCCTTTTTATCGATACACTTGATCACAGCACACGCTTCTGTTGCGGCCATTTTGTGATTTTGCCCTGACCCACGCCATTTTCACGGGGCGTCACGTGCTAATTAATAAATATAAAAATTTGAATTTTTGTGGGCAGTGATGTAAGACGTCATAGTATACAGCTATATTAAAGAATAGGAGTTTGACCTTTATTTTCTAGGTGAGGCCGAGAACTTTTTGATCACCCCTAGTACATTATGAGATTCGCGCAGACTCAATACTTTAATGCTGACGTGCTCACCACACTAATGACGTTCCTGTATCTGTAGGGATCTCAGTCGTAACAAAATCACATTTCCGGTCGGGGTGGACCCAGGCCGACTACTTCCGGACAATCTCACTCATCTGTAAGTCTTTTACCATTATCTTCAAATATAGGGGACAATACTGTTTAAAGTTAAAACTTTTGGTCCAACACAAAAAATTCTCACACCTAGAGCTTTCGACCAGTCACTCTGGTCTTCCTCAGTAGACTGACCCAGTGAAGCTTGTCACGTGGCTTCTTTGAAGTGTGACGTCAACACTGGGTCAAAGGTATCTGGTAGACGATGTCGGCCCCCGTCGCAGTTCAATGAAGGGTGATGGGCCCTGATGTATATGGCTTCCTTCACCCCTCTCAAGAAATAGTCTTGTTCAGTGTCCAAAATCCTTACAGTGTCAAGTGAAACAAAGTGTCCGGGTGATGTCATTTCCTTGTGCAGCAGCGACTGAGGAAGACCAGAGTGACTGGTCGAAAGGTCTAGGTGAGATAATTTTTTGTGTTGGACCAACCAAAAGTTTTAACTTTAAACATGTAACTACCAACACAGATGAACTTTCATGATAGGGGACAATACTGTTATTTACATATATCGCAAAACACGTTATAGCTCAAACAAAGTAGAAGATGAAGTCCACTTTGTTGTTGATTGTAGTTTATTCAGTAATGATAGAAATGATCTTTTTAGATATATTACAAGTACGTTTCCATACTTCCAATACTTGAAAATATCTGTCAAAATTCCCTTCGTAAGAATTATGTGACAGAAATGTGGTATTACTAGCCATGTTTTAAATCGGTATTAGAAGTCCTGTCACTGTACGTTATTACTTCAGACTAACAGTCCATCTGTTTTCTGCGCATGCCCAACCGGACGCACGCACCCCTCCGTTTCTCCTCCCAACACTTCTTTCCTTTCACTATAATTTGTGTTTAATTTTTGTTTTAAGCTCCCTCCTTACCTTTTTGAAAGCCCCAGTAGGTGCTACGGGCGTGTGGTAACGTGCTGAGACGTCAAGAGGCCGTTTTTAACTCCAATTAAACCGAAACCCCGCCGTCGATAACACTAGGGTGGGAGGGCGAGCTCTATACGCACTTCCTTGCATTCTCTCGCCTTCGGTAGTCGGGGCGCCCTCTGTGGGAGTGTCGGCTCCATATCGCCATGTCGCTGGCGGTCTGCAGGTCAGTAGCCTTCTTACTCCTTTTTGCTAATGCTGCAAAGGCCTCGGTTGTCGGACATGGACCAGGAAAGGTAAGAAATGTGTTGTCGCCATGTTTGTTATCGCCGGGTTACACCGGGGCCGCCATCTTGGTACCCCGTACTTAGCCTGAACCCAAGCGAAACCGCGCCGCTGAATGGCTTATATTTTGGTACACTTGGACAGGTAATGAAGCAAACTAGGTATTTGAAAACCACAGATAAACTGTGTTTGATATATCTATGCTCTATCCTGATGGCTCAGGCCGTAGATCTAGAAACCAACCCCGGCCCTCGCCCCCCCAAGTATCCATGTGGTAGTTGTAATAAAGCGGTAACCTTTAAACATAAAGGAGTGTGTTGCGATCGTTGTGATTATTGGTTCCACCATGATTGCCAAGGACTTAGCTCATTCATGTATCCTTACCTCAGTAATTCGAATGTATCATGGATTTGTCTTAACTGTGGCCTGCCAAACCTGTCATCATCTTTTTTGATTCGTTTGCTAGCTTAGAATCACAAAACCCATTCAGTCCCCTGAGTGATAGCAGTCCTGGTTTTACCTCAGGCTGCATCCTCCCCGAAGTCTCCACAAGTGAGACGGAGGACTGCTGGACGACCCCTGCGACTTATTAATGCCAACCTCCAATCCATCAAGAATAAAAAAGTTGAACTTGAAACATTGATCGAGGAAACTAAACCTGACATCCTTGTCATCACAGAAACATGGTTAGACAGTACATGTAATATTTCAGAATTTTTCCCAAGCCATCTGAATATGTCTGTTTTCTTCAAAAATAGACCAGACGACAGCCATGGCGGTGTCCTCATTGCAATATCTAAAGATCTTATTTGTACTGAAGAACCTCAACTAGAGACGGAGTGCGAAATGATCTGGGTTAAACTCCAACTCGAAGGTGCTAAATCACTGTATATATGTGCCTACTATAGGCCACATGTTGGCGACTCCACCAGCCTAGTGAACCTAGAACAATCAATGGCCAAAATTTGCAACCAAAGAAACAAGCATGTTTGGATCGTCGGGGACTTTAACTTCCCAGGCTGGGATTGGTCAGACCCCCAACGCCCAGTTCTAAAGCCATCGTGTGCCCACCCTGGCCTGCACAGACAGTTTGTAGATATGCTGTGTGACCATAACATGTCACAAATCGTGGATAAACATACTAGACACGAAAATACTCTTGACTTAGTGCTAATGTCTAACGAAAACTGTGTTAACTCAGTACGCACTCTACCACCAATTGGTGATCACGACCTGGTGTTCGTAGAAGCAGACCTGCGCCCTCAAAAGCAGAGAGCTAAGCCACGTAAACTCTTCCTATATAAACGCTCAAACTGGGAGAAGTTCAGGGATGAGATGACAGATTTTAAAACGGAACTCGTAGAACTAGCAAATGGTGATGTTAATGTAGATGACCTCTATAACATGTTCACATCTAAATTAGCCAACTGTGTGGATAAATATGTTCCATCGAAAATGACTAGTAATAGAAAACACCTACCATACATCACTCCTGAACTCAAACGACTCATGAGAAAACGAGATCGTTTTACAGGAAGACATTAGGCCAACACACTCCCGAAAGGAAAGACAGACTGAACCAGTTTAAAAAAGAAATCAACAAGAAAATGAAAGACTGCTACTGGAGTTATATTGAAACTGTTGTACTCGACATAGATGTTGATGACTATGATCAGGGCAAGCTCTCTGCTAAACAAGGCACGAAGAAATTCTGGAGCTACCTTAAAAGTATGAAAAATGAGAGATCTGGTGTGGAACACCTTAAGAGTAATGGGATTTTAGTATCCGACAACAAAACCAAGGCTGATCTCCTCAATCATCAGTTTCAATCTGTTTTTACTTGTGAGCCCACAGATGCTCCCTTACCAGACATGGGACCAAGCCCCCACCCCTCTATGCCAGACATCATCATAGAGGAGAGCGGAATCAACAAACTACTGAAAAATCTCAACCCACATAAGGCCTCTGGTCCTGATCAGGTACATGCACATGTCCTCAAAGAGCTTAGTGACACAATAAGCCCAATTCTACAGGTCATTTTCCAGAAAAGCCTGGACTCCGGCACAGTGCCCGAGTTATGGAAGGAAGCAAACATAGCTCCAATATACAAAAAAGGCGACAGGTACAAAGTCGAAAATTATAGACCCATATCACTAACATCAATTTGCTGCAAACTGATGGAACACATTATTGCAAGTTCCATGATGAGCCACCTAGATGGCAATGACATCTTATGTGAAATGCAACATGGTTTCAGACAAGGTAGATCCTGTGAAACACAACTCCTCTCCCTTGTCGATGATCTTGCAGCAAACAGAAACTGCGGCATACAAACCGACTTGGTTCTGATGGATTTCGCCAAGGCCTTTGACAAAGTCCCCCATCGCCGGCTCATTCACAAACTCGAGCACTATGGCGTTAGGGGTAAGTCTCTGGCCTGGATCCAACAGTTCCTGACTGGTAGGACGCAGCGTGTTGTGCTTGATGGGGACAGTTCCGACTCGGTACCTGTTACCTCCGGCGTTCCCCAAGGTACAGTCCTGGGGCCCATCCTGTTTCTGACATACATAAATGACCTCCCAAGCCACGCGGTACACGCCAAGGTAAGATTATTTGCCGACGATTGTATACTGCAGATGGCAATACGGGAGACAAAAGACTGTGACAAATTGCAACATGATGTAGATAATATCTGTAAATGGGAGACAATGTGGCTCATGAAGTTCAATCCCTCCAAATGCGAAGTCATGTCTGTCCCTTCCACAAAAAAACCCATCAACTACTCCTACACCCTTCATGGATCCCCCCTAGCTAAGGTAAGTAAGGCCAAATATCTGGGCGTAACCATCACTTCAAACCTCTCCTGGAACTCCCATGTTGACAACGTAACGGCCAAAGCCAACAGAACGCTGGGTATGCTGCGCCGAAACCTGCGGATTGCCAGTGTGGAGGCCAAACAACGTGCCTACATGGCCTTAGTAAGACCCACTCTGGAGTACGCCTGCCCAGTTTGGGACCCCCATACTTCCGATCAGGTAGGTAGAGTGGAGGCAGTGCAGCGTAGAGCTGCCAGGTATGTATACAACAACTACAGACGCACGGCCTCTGTAACAGAGATGCTAGGTAACCTGAGATGGCAGTCACTTGAACACCGCCGCAAAATGGCCAGACTGACCACAATGTTCAAAGTCCTGCACAACACCATCTCTGTCCCCACACCTCGTGCCTCGTCCCGGCAGCTCGATGCTCCCGCCGCACTAATCACGCTTTAAAGCTGCAGACCATCGCGAGTAAGAACAACTATTACAGGCTCTCGTTCTTCCCTCGCACCATCAAGGAGTGGAATGAACTTGAGCCCAGTGTGGCGGAGGCGAAGTCCATCTCCCAGTTCAAAGCAGAGCTGGGACGGGCTTCGCTGCATTGAGCTGCCTCCCGGTCCTTGTACATATGTAAATACGTGTAACACTAGCACCACTGATTTCACTTGTCCTGTCCTTGTACTTGTCCACGTCCATCCCTACCTTACCCTTTGTTTGCACTTTGCACACAGTACTAAAGCGCAGCTGCTAGTAATCTTCTTTTTAGAAGGCTAAGCAGTACTGAAGATGATGATGATGAACAGCGTCCAGATTACATTTGGACAGTCCAATTTAATTCAACTCAGAAACCTTACATCTAGATGGTTAACTACAGGTAAAAACGATGTAAGTAATACGCAGCAGCCACCGAGGACCCCTTAGGGGTTAACCCAATTCTGCAGAATTCTGGCTCTGGTTCCCAGAATTCTGCAGCATTGGGTTAACCCCTAAGGGGTCCTCGGTGGCTGCTACGTATTACTTACATCATTTTTATCTGTAGTTAACGACATCAGTCCATCTAGATGTAAGGTTGCCGAGATATGGGAAGTACTAGTAGTCCGGAATTAAACTGGACTGTCCAAATTTAATCTGGACGCTGTTTTCTGTATTTAAATGACTGTACCAGGACCTCTATTTATCTATCTATCTCTAAAATAATTCTTTAATTTTTGTTGTAAGAAAACTTTTCCGTTTTTCTCCAACCGCAGGGCACTCATGGAAAACAACATTAGCTGGATTCCGAAAGGATTTTTCTCTCACAGAAAGTTACAATTTCTGTAAGTCGAAACAGTTTAATCTTTCTTATGAATATTTATATTAATATTACTTTTTCTATAGAGCCTGTGTTTCACATACAATCCTTAACATAATTTGCAGACAAATTGATTCCAAATAGTTATAACGCGCAGGCATGCACAAACACACATGTACAGGCGCACGCATGAACACGCGGAAGCACACACACTTAATGAACTAGAGGTCAGAGATCTCATGCCTTCGTCGGAGGGACATTGTTCTAGATAAATGAACATGTGTAGTCTTTACTTTTTTTAAGAACCAATTTGGTCTAGAGTAAAAGAATCTCTGTACTCCTTTTTAATTCTACGGAACACCCTGAAAGGGTTCGCACAAGGAAATGACATCACCGCTAGCCAATCAGACGCACGATAGGCCCACATTTCCCGCGCGATTCTAAAACATAAACCCACACAAGGGCCACTGATCACCCGACATGCCATGTGGGGGCCTGCATGGGGGGGGGGGTCCCAACAACGCTCCACGCTGAATTCGGAAACTTCTCGATTACGCTTTACGATAAATTCCAAGTGGCTACAACGCATTACGTAGAATTAAAACGGCGAATTACGCTCTACGCAAAATGCGCCAATTACGCTCTACGTTGAATTAGAGCGTTCCGTCTACGCTCTACGTAGAATCCAAACGGTCGATTGCTGTTGTTCGTCCGTCATGTCGACGATGACCAAAGGTCATCAAACGGTCGATTACGCTCTACGGAAAAGGGCATGCGGGTCCCCCTATGTGTACATGTACTGCCAGACTACTCTAAACACGTCCACAAATCCCGCTGTGACATATCGCCCATGTACTGCATTTCGCAGAAAATAGGGTCTTTTGAAATGGCATTTTGTACCTAGTGTATACCTAGTACCTAACCAAGGTAAAGCGTTCGGCACTCGCTGTTCGGCAATCTTCGGGAGACTTCGGTATCTGTTCGTGTGGTTCTTTGGAATCCTCGTCGGGTTGTGGACCGTGTTCATGCTGTTTGTGTATGATTCTCGGGAATCTTTCAACGGACCGTGTTCACGGTGTTATGTGTATGATAAATCGCGAAACGGCACGTGTTCACGGTGTGTTGTGATGTCAACAGACTGAGTGTGTAGACAGTGTAACATACGCAAAACAATCAAGTTGTGTAAATGGTTTACAAAACAATATAGATTTCAACAAAAGCTGGGTGGCCTAGCGCCTGTGGACAGTGTCGCAAAATGCATGAAGAGAAGATGTGATGAAAGGAAAGAATCAGAACAGGGCGACTACTGCTGTTTAGCAGAGATCTATTGCTGTTTTTATGACAAAGAAAAGACTTCATTGTCGTTACACTATGTTCTTTTATACAATGTGTATCCTTATATTTGTTTTTCTACAGTTAGTATATTCCAAATATAGGCATCTTGATTTTTCGGCCCTTGTCTTTTATCGCGCATTCGCATTAAATTCAGGGTCTCAAGCGGACGTCATCCATAAAAATTACCTGGTGTGGCGTTGGGGAACGACCTGGCGCATGTCCAACCTTTCCTCCTCTCACTGTAGTTATAGAACAGCCCCTCAATGTAGGCAACTGATTCCAGATGGGGTTCCCCAGCTGTCAGCCAGCTGTCTCCAAGTAGTGGTTGGTGGGGAAAGATCGTTACTTTTCTAACATAAAAGGTCCACTGCAGCGACGTAGGGACCCCCCACGAGACCCGTTTTCAAACTTAACCTTGGCCTTTACAACGGTAACTTGCCTACCAAAAATACTCAACATCCATTTAAATATACTCGAGTTATCCTGCTAAGAAGCGACAAACACAAAAGGTCCACTGCAGTAAAGTAGGGACCCTCCACGAAGCCCATTTTTGCACTTGAAATTGGTCTCCCCAACGATAACCTGCCTGTCAAAAATCATGAACATCGATTCATGCCCTCAAGAGTTATGCCGCTAAATCCACAATCTCTCACACTAAAGCAGACTGATTTAAAACCCTTCTCCGAAGGCAATAATGTTAATTTTGTTAAACATTTTTCCAGGGGTCTCAGTAACAACAAGATTAAGCAGATTCCAGCGAACGCGATCGAACACATGAGCGACCTACTGTTCTTGTATGTTATTCCTATTATTCGCAGTCACATAATATTGTTACATATCGCCAAATGTTTAAATGCTTCCATGTAGATCCTTGTATGCCTTTGTAAATGAATGGTTTTCTTCTAATCAAGGCATTGGTCGATAAGTAAATATATATTTTCCTTAACCACTGAACACATTATTTAGTATAGTAGTACACTAAAATTAAATGTGTAAGCTATACACGGAGAGAGAGATAGAGAGAGAGAGAGAGAAATCAGAGAGAGAGAGAGAAAGAAGAAAGAGAAAGAGAGAGAGAGAGAGAGAACGATCAGTATTTGCATGTTTTCATCTATATGGGAAGGCATGTTTGCCCTTTTATCCTATATTCATGAACGCTATTTTCTCCCCACAGATCACTTGATGGGAACGAACTGACATCGTTGTCATGGAGAACTTTAAACACTTTGGAGACATCTAATGTCACACATCTGTAGGTGATGATTTTGTGTTCATGACGTTGGCATTTGAGACGTGTGCTGGCATAGCTTCCTTGAATCTTTAGTCTTATGCGGATTCAATTCGCTGCTCGCTGTTATGAACGTAACGTTCAACTAAAAGCATCTAACTCTTCTTGTGATTGTCACTACTTGTGTTACTGTTGCGGTACGTCAAAATGTAGTAAACACGAAGTTTCACGAATACCTGTCAGTGACCTACCACCCAAAGGATTTGACAAGTTGACACCGGGCTACTTGGCTACTTTATTTCCTGTGCCTGATTTTCAAGTAGATCTCTCGGGGGAGGGGGGTGGGCAGAACGGGGGTGGGGGTGTGGTGAGCAAAACGTTTGCCGGAAGGTGGCCAATAGAATAGGGTCTGGTCAGTTTTATAGTGTCTTATTTGTGGGAAGGATCTGCATGGAGATTAGCACATGTAACCATGTGTTTATGTTTACCGAAGGAAACATATTGTTTTGCTTCGTTTCCTCTTCTTATTCTTCTCCAAACCAAAAAGGTCAATGACCTGAACCAGACTGTCTGTTACCATGGTAACTAGTGTTGGGTTACGTCATGTTGCAATTTTATAGCAGGAGGTAGTTAAACTCCAGTCAGGTATATATATATGACTGTGTTTGAGAAAGAATTAACACAGTAGACCTTGTGCGAAGGTAAACATTATGCATTTGCAAATGTTACCTTTATTGTAGTGAAATATGTTCACTTGCATTTTGCAGAAACTTCAGCAACAACCAGATCAGCTACGTGGGAGGCAAAGCATTTCATCAGCTGAGAAGCTTGAAAATATTGTGAGTTATCCTCATCCTTAGTTCCTTTCTCTCTGAATGACTGTTGAACTAAGGCCACACCAATTTAATTTTATGGATGACATCCTCTGAAGATCCCCAAACTAGTGCGCGCGGGCGAATGAAAAAATAAATAAAAATGCTACAAAACCACAGGAATACAAAACTGGTATTGTGAATTCGCGACAGTACTTAGCAACGTATACAACAAGCCGGCACATGCTGGCTTTTTGCGGCATTTATGAATCGGTATGGCTTATGTACTGAGTTCTTGAGTCGTGGACCTTCGAATTCGATAGCCTGGGTGCTCGGCTCCGCTTTGTCGCTGACTACCACGGACTATCCAGGCCTAGAGCCAGACCAGAGCCTCGGTGGAGGTGATCTTTTTTTTTAAAGGGCGACAGGCGAAAATCAATGCGCGCGCGGATGTCATCCATAAAATTAAGTCGGTCTGGCCTAATTAATAATAATAATGAAGTTAATTGCAAATACTTGCCCGAGGGCTAATTGCAGTTACAAACAACATAACAAAGAAAATACAGTGGTATGTGAGAATATATCTACTTCTAACATTATACTATATTCTACCACGTGCATGGTACTAGTTTTACTGGATTTGACTTCTTCCTTTTTGGGCAATGGAAGACGAATTTACCCACTTCTTCTATAATATGTGGGTTCTTTGATTTTAGTAGTAAATTTTTTTTTGTGGTAGGGAATGGTGGGGAAGTGGGGGAGCATTTTTGACACATAAACGTGCGACTATAGCACAGTTTGACGAAAGTGATATGACATTGACGTTAACAACTTACTCCTTGTCTACAAATCAGTTGGTATTGAACAAAGTTGTAACGATACCGAAAATAATTTTAACAGGTTGGTAGAACATGAGATATCGGAGTTTTCTGTAGTAATGCCTCAGACCTGGTTACATTTCGATGTCTATCAGGCACCAGTCAGAAGCTCTGAGGATGCTGTTTCATTGACATCGAGGTGTTGAGAGACATTACTCATGCCCGTAGACAGGATTTTGAGGGGGGGGGTTCTTCCAACTTTTTGAGGGACCAACGAGCGCCATAGGCGCCAGGTTCCCAATGGGTTCCAGAAAGTTTGAAAATTGAACCTTCTGAAAGGGCATTTCCTGCGTTTTTAAGAGGATTTCAAAGGGAACATCAGATATAACGTTTTAACGTCAAAGTGAGCAGTTTTTCTAGGATTAGGATTTTCTAGGATTTCTAGTGATACAAATCCATCTTTTAAAGAAATATTTTGGACCTTTAGGTAAAAGTAATAGTGGACCTTCCGAATCACCCGAAACCCCCCGGCTACGGGCATGTTACAGGTTGTATAAGAAAAGACAATATCCAGTGGCAATAATACATACAGTACATATATCAATTATCGAAGTGAATAACACCATTGATTATATCTTTCATTGTCATTGTAGAGAACTGCACAACAACAAGATTTCTACTATCAACTGGCAGGCGTTCTACGATTTACCAAATCTTCTACATCTGTAAGTCTTCAAGAATACATTATTTAATCTGCAAGAAGAAAATATTTCTAATTACATTCTATTTCCATTGGTTCGAATAAGTAAGAGAGAATACGAGAGAGAATGTTTTTGTTTTTTAGTTTTATTATATTATATATATATTGTATAATAATGAATCTTTATTTGCATGTTCGTGCCCATGGGGCTAAATGCATACATCGGAGTGTGATGTTACATGTACATCATACTGAGTAACATACTACATAGGATACAAGGATAAAGGAATAAAGTGAAAATCTACTAGAGAATACATTCTATCTAATCTAGGTCTTGAAGATTTCTTCTCTCTTTTTAAAGTAACTGGAGATGGATTCACATAGTTTTTCTATTGTGTGGACATTACTGGTAGACATGAGATGACTGAATACCTCTTTCTTTGTTCTACCTTTACATAGTTTGTCTGAGTGGATTGTTCTGAATAGTGTGTCACGTTCGGTATCATACAATTTACTATTAAGTACAAATGTATTTCATCTTCTACGCGATTACTGTTACAAATCTTACATGGTCTATCTTCTACGGGACTCAGGTTATATCTGCTGGTTTCTACATGTATGTGTAAGTTAAGCCACATCGACTTAATTTTATGGATGACAGCCGCGCGCGCATTCGTTTTCGCCTGTTCTAAAAAAAAAGACGTCCACAGAGGTCTGGCCTGGCTCTAGGCCTGGGTAGTCCATGGTAGCTAGCGACAATACGGAGCCGGTGGTAACTCTGGAGGACGGCACCCAGGCTACCGAAGCTTCACGACTCAAGAACTCATGTACATAGGTACAGTGCCGATTCATAAATTCCTAAAAAAGCCAGCATGTGCCGGCTTGTCGTATTCGTCGCTAAGTACTGCCGCAAATTCACAATACCTGCTTTGTATTCCTGTGGTTTAGTAGCATTTTTATTTTTGGCAGGAATTTTTTTTATTCGCCCGCGCGCACTAGTTTGGGGGTCTTCAGAGGATGTCATCCTTAAAATTAAATCGGTGTAGCCTTATGGTCACTAATCCGTAGTATAATGACGAGCAGTCCTTTCAACAACCTGTAATGTTTTTTTCAGAGACCTTAATCGGAACAACTTGGAAAAGCTACCGGGTCATGCTTTCGTGGACCTACCAGAACTGCGAACTCTGTGAGCCATATCTGATCAATTTTCCATTTTATTTTTGTCTTAATTACTGTATTGATCACATTTTTATAGGAACGTTTCGGGGGTACTCTCCAAGCAGAGGTTTGGGTTTGGGGTAATTTTTAGCGTGTTTTTAGGCTTTTTTATTGGGGTTTCTCTTTTGCACTGGATTTTTCCCCACCAAACAAAATCCAGTTTTTCCCTACCAAAAAATACAGTTTGGTGGGAAAAAAATCCAGTGCAAAAGAGAAAGCCCGATAAAAAAAGCCTAAAAACACGCTAAAAATAACCCCAAACCCAAACCTCTGCTTGGAGAGTAGTTTCTGGGCTCATTAGCCACATTCTCACTCACAAGTTCATCAAAACCGACAACATTATAGTAACACCGACCAAATATGATTTAAGTATTTTTTGTTATTTGTTTGATTTGTATATATGGTTTAATTTCTACTATGTTCAAGCACTTTATTTATGATGTAATATTCCTAAGTTTGTATTATTTGGAGTTTGATCTCTGACAATCTCACACACTGACTGACTGATTATTATTATCGTATCGTGATTTATGATTTTCGAATTCCTTTGTTACGTTTGATTATTATTTTATGTTACATTATTTTCTTCTTGTATGGGCTCCCTTGGAAATCAGCCTCAACGGCTCAAGGGCTCATTTGTCCCTAAGATGAATAAATAAATAAATAAACATATAACAATGTATATCGCAATTACTTGTAATATTACTTTAATGTTTTAACCGATTGTTGTTGTGAAATGAATCTACTGCACTTATTCGAATTTATTGATTCAGACATGATCATACAATAGTCAATCTATGTTTACAGTTAAAACTTTTGGTCCAACACAAAAATTCTCTCACCTAGAGCTTTCGACCAGTCACTCTGGTCTTCCTCAGTAGACTTACCCAGTGAAGCTTGTCACGTGGCTTCTTTGAAGTGTGACGTCACTGGTCGAAAGCTCTACGTGAGAGAATTTTTTGTGTTGGACCAAAAGTTTTAACTTTAAACATGTAACTAGCGACACAGATGAACTTTCATGATAGTATAGTCAATCTATGCAGAACTATCACTGTTGTTTTCATTTCCATATCTTTCCAGTGTTCTTCACAGTCAGACCAGCGGCATGACTACAATGTCGTATGAGGCGTTTCACAACGTTTCCAACCTTGAAACTCTGTAAGCCTCAGTTAATTTTCTGTACGATGTTGTTTCTCATTATGTTGCCATGTCTTTGCTTTGCTAACTAGGTAACATGTATGTGTATGTATATGTATATGTATATGTATATATATGTATATGTGTATGTATATGTATGTAGCTAGGTTACATATATGTGTGTCTGAAGTCAAGGAGGTGTTATCAGACAAAATAGACAGTTGACAAAAAAAGAAAAATGTCTAGACTATGCATGATGTACAAAATGACTAATAAACTGGTGGACGTCCCAATTACTAAGTACATAATATCAGCTCAGAAGAGAACATGAAATAGCCATGCCTTCAAGTACCAAAGTTATCAAGCAAGGATTGAGGTGTTCTAGAATTCATTCTTTCCTAGAACTATCGCAGAGTGGAACTCGCTGTCACCAAGTACAGTAGGGGCATTGTCATTAGATGTTCATGGGGTAGGTGTAACAAGTCGATCGGTGTAATATAGCCAGCTACCGCCGCGACGCGTGCCTGTAAAGCTGAGAAAAGCAAGAAAATGACTGAAAAGACATTACACGTCATCTAGAAATATGGTTTTCACAGGTTCATCAGCAGCAATGCGTTCACAACTTTTCCACACCCAGCGCTATCTGAAGAGAACTGGCCAAACCTGAAATACGTGTAAGTTGGGAATCTGAATCTGTTACTCTGATCTCGGAAACGAAAGTTGACTCTTTGTGGTGACTTTAATAATCTGCTCACGAAGTTATGGCTATCAATGAAAATATGCACACTTTTTGTTTGTAACGAATTGTAAGCATGTTATCATTACTATGCTACTCAATGACGTCACCAGAAGTTCGGTAGCTGCTTTGTATAGCGGCCCTTTAATCTAATCGATTTGATTTTGCTTGTTGATATCAACACTTGAAAATGATTCAGTCACAGGCAGTCACTCTTAAATAAACTGACAACTGCATAGATTCTTGAAACGTTGATGTTTAGCTTTATGAAAATGTAGTTAATAATTTATTTAGTAGATGCGATACTTTGTACCCAGTACAACTGTTGTGCAGTAAAGTTATCTCTATTTATGATCATTTTTCAGGCATGCAGATAACAACGATATCACCAACATATCTGCATATTCCATTGATGCATTTGAGCATCTCTCATGGAGAATCCACAGAGACAAAGAGAAACTGTTCTCTCCGTTTGCCACAATGAGGGCGGTATTAACACTGTAAGTACATATCTGGTTTGCTGTTTGGTTTTATCAAATGACAGGGCTTTTAGAAAACATTCTTCTTTATGTGTGTTTACTATAAGAACAGTAATTATTCTATATGAGAACCATTTTCAAGCTACCGTTAATGTGGTCAACGACATATCCATGTTGCATATTAAGATCAAAATGATTTTGGTATCAAATGCTACAAACCAGACATAGTTATCGACGTTTTAAAGGTGTTATTTATTCGTAGATATCTCCATAACAACCAGATCATTGGAATACGCCAGGGGGTCCTTTGTCCCCTAACCAGCCTGGAATACCTGTAAGTACCGTAACACTTTTAAAACAAGTAATACTTATGATTGTTTCAATACCTAATGAATTAAACCTTATCTGCTTTCCAAAACACAAATAGCTCTCAAAATCAGGATTTTCTTTGAAAACCATATATATTTTATTTATGGATAATATAGATAAAATATACATATAAATAAAAGTGCTATATTGAATCCTCTACGTCATTCTGCAGGGACATGCAGTCAAACAACATACAAGAGGACACTTTGGACGTCGGTGCCTTCGATTGTCTCATCAGCTTAAAGACAATGTAAACAATTATATATTTTATGTATCAATACAATATCACTACTACTACTACTACTATAGAGGGAAATTAATAGAAGGAAATTATGTAAATAAAATCAATAGAGGGAAATTATGTATTAGAAACTAAAATCATCAACTACTGTGTGAATATGATTTTACCACTATCAAATGTGATATAGAAGTGAGTTCTGTGAATACCAATGAATAGCCTTTAATCGAGACAAGGGCATACGTTTGTTTATGGTTGAACTATAGCTGGATGCAACCATATGGGATATTATCATATAGCCAGTAGCCGTCGACCAATCAGAAGGCTCTATTTCCCATGGGTTATCAGGCCATAACCTAAAAAGTGGGCGGTTATTCAGATAACCGCCCACTTTTTTGGACCGTACCATTATACGGGGGACAGGACACTAACGTAGTAGTGTTAAGACTTGTAATATTTATCTAGTGTTGTAGGTTATTTTGATTTTTTTTGAAAATACAGCACAATTAAATGAAATAAATAAAAACAGAAAAATACAAAACATAATTTTGACACCCCCACTAAAAGTGGTACTGTTCCAATGTCACGTGGTCACCGCAGATGACTACCTCGTAGATGATCTGTTTTTCTGTCCACAACATATTTTTTTCGTAACAGAGTTTTTTGGCACTGGAGGAATTTTCTATAGAAATTTGAGTCAAATAATTTGTAACAAAGTACGATAGGCTATATGATAATAACGTTAATGCCCGCCTTATCCTCGGTGTATATGGTGAGATAATCCCTGGTTGGGTGCGATATCCACCTCATAAACCACCGAGTGAATTAATTCGGTGGTTATCGCACCCGACCAGGGATTATCTCACCATATACACCTCGGGGTATTAACCCTTTATTATTTCAGGGACTTGGGAATCGATATACCAAAGGATCTCACTTACTTTCTTCTCACAGAAACCTTGACTACAACCAGATACAACTTGTGCCAATGGCAAATGACACGAACTCATTTCCGCCTAGTATACAAACCATGTAAGTTATAACCTTCTCTTTGTGTTCATTGCCTTCGTCAGAAGGCTATGAAATCGGTTTGGGTATAGTGTGGGAGACTGTGGGTGGACTATACACCTCACGGGCTAATGATAATTTGTAATGGTGTTTTGTTAGCATCCAATTTTCTCATAAAGTTATTAATACGATTTGTAACATGCTGACATCCCTTCTATCTGGACTTTTTCATCAACCTCCCTCATTGTACGTTTACCTCAGATTTCTTGTAGTAGTGTTGTTAACCTTGGAGTATCAATATGAAGACGAACTTTGTTGTGATAAATCAGTATGATTTGTTACAGATATCTGCGGAACAATGAATTGAAATCCGTGGTTCCCGGATCTTTTACAAATCTCCCAGCCCTCTCATCTATGTAAGTATAATAGTTTATGTTTCTCAAAAGTGTCCCTTCTTGTGTGTGTGAGTGTGTGTGTGTGTGTTTGTGTCTGTCTATATGCCACACATTCCTAATTTTTGTTTATGTTTCCTTGTTTACTACTTTTCATTACTACTTTTCATTATTGTAGATAGTATTGTATTGTATTGTTTTGTTTTGTTTCATTTACCCGTTACCTAAGTTATTTCTTATTTATCCGATTTATTTGAATTGTTAATCACGTTATGAAGGGAGGCCTCCTCATAAGCATTTTATGCTTCCGGCCTCCCTGCACTGTTACATTTAATTTATATTTTCTTGTATTTGTATTGTTACATTTTGTTTTAAAGTGCGAAATAAACTGAAACTGATGTAAATTGTCGTGGCATGACAACTAAGACTAAGCAGTCATGCCATCAATAACTTACTGAACCATATGAAACCCTGATACACAGCTACATGGACAATAACAAGCTGACATCCCTTGTATCCGGAACTTTCACTGACCTTCCGTCACTGACAACACTGTAAGTAACTTGTCAAAGTTTTGTATTCATAATAAGGCCATGTTGATTGATTCTATGGATTTTCGTCCGTTTCCAAAAAAAGTTTTCAACCATACTGTAAATCTTAGAAAATGTGTGAATATATGTCGTGTGTTGTAAAAAAGTATTGGAAAACGATATTAATGTCATAGAATCTATTCAGGAAAAGGAGAAAATGTGAAGATATGAAAAGAAAGAGTCTATTACTATTCCCAATACCATACTCTGTGTGTTTAGTCTTTTGTTCAACCTCTATGACCACGTAGATTTCATAGTAAATGAAACTTTTTTTGCCAAACTTTTTGTATTCGCACGCTCGCGTCAATTTTGGGGTTCCCAGAGGATGTCAGCCATATAATGAAATCAACATGGCCTAGTGGAGCAAATAACATTCACTATCTCTGTGTACGGATGTTTCGTTTTGGGTGTGTTTGTGTGCTTGCTTGCTTGTATTTGAATATCTGTTGGCTTATGGGAGCCAGTGGGAAAATACGTCAGAATCAGTCGGTAATTTACAACAACAACAAATAATACAAGAAATTTGCAAACCGTTAATATTTCAGGGAGATATAAGACCTTCGATTCTTTTCTTTGTTGTTGTTTGATTTTAAATATGGCTTTAACAATGTTTGTATGTCATTGCAGGTACATTACCAGTAACCACATCATTTCCATAGAGAACAAGACATTCCCTCTTCAAATTCAATATCTGTACGTATTGCGCATCTTTATAAGTTGCCTATCAATAGACTGATCACTGATATTATTTACTGATTTTTCTACTCTCTCCTTTATCACGTAACTGACATTATAAAGATGTCATCGTACTAAAATGAATTTTAATTGAATGAACCATCACCTTATTATGGTGATTCACACAACAAATACAAATCTATTTATCATACTGCGTACACGTTTTATTGTTTAGTGCTACTACTAATTATGGTGTACCCCATTATTCTAGGTACCTCAGCAACAATAGGTACTTTGACTTTCGTCATCACAACCCTTTCAACAATCTCACTCGGCTGCGCAGTTTGTATCTTGCCGGAAATGACATCACGGATGTGCCCGACACAGCTTTCCACGGACTGGAGGAACTCACTCATTTGTAAATACATCTTACATCTCAAATAATCGATCGATCAATCAATCAGTCAATCAATTAATCGATCATTCAATCGATCGATCAATCGATTTAACAACCAACCAAATCAATTGACATATCGATCAATCAATCAGCCAACCAACCAAACAACCCATCGACAAATCGATCGATCGACCAATCAATCAATCAATCAATCAATCAATCAATCAATCAATCAATCAATCAATCAATCAGTAAAATCAACCAAACAACCAACCAATCCATCGATCGATTGATAAATCAATTAATCGGTAAATCAATCAATCAATCAATCTCGTAATTGTGCAGATATACGCCGTGGTTGGATAATGAACTCTAAGATGACAGTCCAAAGAATCCAGTATTACATTTTGCAAATTGCATAAAGTATATTTGTTTCAATCTTTTTGACTTTATTTTCAGAGATGATAGTCCAAAGGTACCATCCAGGATTACATTTTGCAAATTGCAGAAAGTATATTTGTTTCAATCTTTTGATGGCTTTGTTTTTAGAGATGATAGCCCAAAGGTACTATCCAGGATTACATTTTGCAAGTTGCAGAAAGTACGCATTTGTTTCAATCTTTTTTTAATTTCTTTTTAGAGATGTCCAAAGTAATCGTTTGGGGTGGTTGAAGAAAGTTGCCCTGCAAGACCTCCACAGTCTGCAGCACCTGTAAGTATTTTTCTCTGTTACTGGTTTTCCTTCTTACAAAGTGGAAGACACAATTTTGGGAGGGTACATAAAATTTTGCAGTGAACAGAATATCAGATCCGCCGCATGATTGTTGCTGATTGAATTCCGAGATCTCATACCTCCATGAAATATGATCTTGATATGTAAATGTAAATTTCTTCTTTAATTGTGCAAATGACCTCTGCATTAACATGATATATGCATCGTGATGTATGTTAACTTTTGATTAACTTACAGATGTCCAAAGTATGACATTCTCATCATTCACCATTACGAAATCATAGAATTTTCGCATTAATTATGCAAATTAGGTCATCATTTGCATAATTAGTATCTGGTGAAGTTCCGCCTGCCATAGGTTACATACATTACATGTATGTAAGTAGTATAATGTAAAACACAGTAAATATAGAATTTCCTCATTAATTATGCAAATAAAGTCCCCATTTGCAAAATTTGCATTTAATTATGTACATCTCTCTTTCAGCTACCTACACACCAAAAATAATGAAAATATGTTGTTCCTGTCTGGACTTATTGGCTTTTAAACATTTCGCCAGAAAGTGCCCTGCAGTTCCAGAACAAGTTGCTAGGGGGCCCAAACTCATATGACTTCTTCCCAAGCACGAGAGCTACCTTCCATCAAAATTTCATGACCCTAGCATGTCCAGATCGCGAGATATCAAAACCGGAAGTTGCGCTGCAGTACCAAGGGAAGCCACTAGGGGGACAAAAATCTCATCATTTCCAGTTTTCGTCACACCCTACCAACACACCAAGTATGAAACCAATCAATCCAGGCGTTCTTGAGTTATCTTGTTGACCAACAGACAGACGGACAGATAAACGCAACTGAAAATATAACCTCCATGACACATTTCATGGAGGTAAATATAACCTCCATGACACATTTCATGGAGGTAATAACATTGATTACGCTCTTGATAATTAATACCTACTGCTTGGTTCGATCTTCTAATTCTGTAGAGATATGCAGAACAATGACATCGGTCAAATAGAAGAAGGAACAATTGATCAGCTGACATCACACATAAAAGCAATGTAAGTTTTATTCAGTTGCTGTATTTGCTGTAGTGAATAGTGTGTTTTCTCATTGAAATTAACTCGATGTGGTTCCCTTACTTTTCTTACCGGATCAAACAGCAAATACCGATCCACATAGTAGTCAAACCAAGAAATTACCGTTCAAGAACAGGTGAAAAACTGTCCTTGACTAAGAGTAAGGCCGTGTTTATGTTAAGTCATCCAAACCGCGATTCGGGTAACTCACATTCCTCACATCTGGTCCACGTGCCACACATTCCTTTGAAACTGTGTCCGATCACAATTCGCCTGAGCTACATTTATTGTTGTTTGATGAAAACACGCAAGGTAGCGTGTTATTAATGTCAGAGGTCAACGACCTGCTTGCTGATGCCCCCTCCCAGCGTATCTCGGCCGAATGCCGACGTGGTCCCGCCAGAGGCGGTGAAGCTCGCCCTAGAACGGACACATTATTTGACCATTACTACTCTTTAAGTTGCTGCCACGAAAAAGTTGGAATTACATATAAATAAAGAAATATCACCCCGTAATCCATGACCAGGTGAAGTTACATTGAAATCACATTGCGTTCAGACGCAAATTGCGATGCGGGAAAACCGATTCGAAACCACCTCTAGAAGTGGTTTGGGATCGAGGCGCTTTCAATGTGATTTGGAGCGTTCAGATGGAGCCACTTGAAACCGGCTTCGGGGTAAACCACATGTAAAGCGCCTTGGGTGACTTCACATAAACACGGCCTAAGATACACATGAAGAAATACACACACCGCTGAAACATGTATTTGCGTGCATTATTTGATTAAGATACTTCAACGGGAATGATTTGACGGAGCTTCACCCTGGAGGAGAGTTCCACAACATCACTGCGAGTGGACCCATGTGAGTAGCTGTTGATTTTCGTATATTGTGTTCTGAATGGACCTATCACATTATTACGTCACAGTTTGGTGACCTGTTCTAAAGAACATTCTAGAATGGTCAGTTAAAGAATAAAGATCATTTCAAAGTTTTCAAAGTCAGGTATGTTTGATTTTTGCTGCGTCTAGTTTTGTTGACACAGCATTACATGCCGTAATGGGTGATTTAGTTGTGACAGTAGATGAAAGTAGTACAATATAAACATCGATTGACCGGCATTCATTGCGGTAAACAAACTGTAACGTAATGATGTTATAGGTCCATTCGAAGTAGGAATCGATATCGAAAATATCTCTGCAAAATGCAGACAGAAATCTATGTTGATGATCCACCATCTCTGATGCTTATCAATGATATGCTTTCATCGTCGTATATAATTATATATATTTGGTTTATTTCAACTGAACAACTGGCAGCCCACAGGGCTGAATTGTGTGTTCGTACATATAAATAGGAAGATAAAACACTTGCTCAGTATTATTGTCTAAAACCATGATCATCATATCCAATTAGTCAAAATCTATGGTAATAAAAAGTAAGGGCAGTAAAATTAGTAACGGTATTTTAGTCACAATCACATACATCTTCGTCACAACAAGTAAAATCTAATACATAAATGATTAAAGGATTCCTCTACACGCTGTTGTTTAGCAGACTGGTTAAGAATGGGATTGGACTATTTCTGTAGCGCTCTGTGTGTACTGGCAATCTTTTATTTATTTATTTATTTCAGCTTCATTGCAAAGTATGTAATTGGACAGGGGGAACAGGTCTAGCCTTTGTCTTAGCCCCCTGTCCAAATTAAAAACATAATAAGAAAGTACAATTAAAGCAACACCAAAGACTTATGCAAACATACACAGATAAAACAAGAAACAATCACAACCAATGACAAACAAATAAAAACATGCCCACGGACATATAAATAATAAATAAACAAATGATAATAGTGACAATAACAACGCTAATAATAATGATAAGAAAAAATAGCGGAGTCTAAGAACATAGGGTATGCCAGGTGTAAATGTTATCAGGATCAAATATGTCGGACAGAAGGTGATGATAGTGACTGAGGACGAACTTTCTAAAGGTAAAAAATGAGACGTTTGGACTTGTTTTAAGAGATCTAGTTGGTTTCTTTGTCTCGTTGCCCTACCGCTGACGTCACCTCTGAGTTCAGGCAGCCAACCACGGTACTCTTCTGAGTTGAACAGATTCTTAGCAAAACAGATGTTTGTAAACTTCCATGTTAACTGCAAACATGCTCCTTTTTCATCGAATGAAAACCCCTCGGGAAATTGGTTAAAATTGAAGAGAGAACTCTGTATATCTGCCAGTCAAGAGATGACGAATTATTTTTTGTTTCTACTTTCAGAAACTTTTACGGCAACCGCATATCTTCTTTGCGAAGTGAAACGTTCAAGCAGATCAGTGGCGTCACCGACCTGTAAGTATATTGTTAAAACCACTTCTTGATTTGCTTTGGTTTTCCTTGTTTTCATATGCTACGTTTATTTAATTTTGTGTCAATATTGCTTTCTTATGTTTATCCTTAGCTCTTATGCATAATAACTTATGATTTGACTAATGGAAATTCTTTTTTCTTGCTCAATTTGACATGTTTTTGATGGTCTTATTTTATTGTTTAGTCAATAAGTTAGTTAGTTAGTTCGTCGTGTTAACTTAATATTATTTTGTATCTATTTTGATTTAATTTGTTTGTTTCGTTGCCACTTATTTCTTATACACGTGTGTAAAAAGAGGTCATAAAAACAATTGGATTTTAGGAGAACCCACTCAATAAACCCTTAGGTTTCGTGGGTTCTCCTGCACATTTGGTGTACATAGTCATTACATACTGTTTTTTTTATGTGCAAACTGAAATAAACAATAAACAAAAATTCAGTGTTTATTTGTTTATTTGAATTCACGTGTACAAATATACAAGTGGAAGGGAGGACAAAACAGGTGCATTGTCACCTTTACAAGTTGCCCCCCCCCCAAGTGTTGATGAATTCCTCGTAGTTCCTCGTTATAAATCAGTTGACTTGTACCACTTAGTTCACATGTGCTTGGTGGCTTCTATGGTCGTATATTCTGTGTTTACTTGAAGGCACACAGTTACTTGTTACATTTTACTTACCTTGCGCCCTCCTCTTAATTATAATGAGATAAAGGGCTGGCCTAGGTGTACTTCAACGAGTCATCTTGTATATATTTGTATATTGAAATAAAGATGATTTTAACCCCCCTCTAATCCTTATACGTGACAGAATAAAATTTGATTGTTTGATTGTTTGTTGAAGGGATCTTCGTAACAACGATATTTCTATCATCGAAGCCAATTCATTCCATGACGTTTCTGCAGGATTCATGTAAGTGAACTTTCACACTGACTAAACTGCTTATGCTAAGGTCACATTTCCCAACCGGGGCCCGGCCGGGCAGTCTTATGGAACGAAAAGTACGATATAAAAGACATTCAAGGAAACATAGAAAAGTTCTCGATAATAATCATGGGCACTATACCTGTATATTCTTGATATGAATTGTTAGTTTTTCGTTCATACAAACAGCCCGGCCGGGCACCGGTTTAGAAATGTGACGTAGGCATCACTGATGAAGTATGTGCCCAAAACTTTCTTTTCATCCATGATGCTGTCATTTCCAAACCGGGGCCAGGCGGGGTGGTTCTATGAAACGAAAAATATGGTATAAAAGACAAAAAAAGCACAAAAACGTTTTAAAAAATGAAGAATAGAACTATTTGCGTATATTATTGATATAGATTGTTGATTTTTCTTTAATCGAAACAGCCCGACCGTGGGTTTGAAAATGTGACCTCAGCATTAGGAAAATAACAATTGAAGGAACAGAGGAACAAAGTTACATTTACATTTAAACATAGCAGCAATCATGTATGCTTCTTTTGTTATGTTATTTTTGATATTGGTATTGGGTGGGCGTGGGGTGTGGCTCTCTCATTTAACGTCCTATCCAAGGGACGTCCCTAACTTTGAAGCTTTCAAACTTAATTCACACACCTTGTAGACAATAAGTCTGAATTGGCAGGTATTTACAATGAAATAGGTTAAAAGCGCTAAGGAGTTAAAAATAGACAATCAATCAATCAAACTCGATTTACAATCAATAAATATAAATGTGATAAAATTGCATGGTCTTCTGAATATTATACAGGTCATGAGGTCACGTCGGTATTTACAGATTGTCAGTTAAAGAGTTTGTTCAGCAAGTTTGTCATGTAAGGTATATCGCAGAGTTTTTGTGGCGAGTTGTTCTACAGATGGGAGTGTCCAGTTTGTTAGCACTACGTGTGTTTCTGCCGGATATCTGTTTACGGGATGGGGGTAACCAGTCACTGAATTAAGAGTTGAGGAGTTTCTTGGCAAAGGTGAGGCATAGGTGGGTACGTCGTTCTGCCAAGGAGTCGAGGCTCAGTGTAGACAGTGCTGGGTAATCGAAGCTAGGTACTCATTTACACCTGAGCGAAGTGAGGAAAGTCGCGTTAAGTGCCTTTCCCAAGGACACAAGATAGGTGGCATCGGGCAGAATTCAAACCCGGGACCTCTTGGGTCTGAGTCGAACACTCTACCGTTACGCCACACGACATCAAGTATTTTGTGTATAAAGGTATACTTATGATATGGCCAGTGGCAGAATTTCATATCTGAACACTATTTCTGTTGGTCTAGACGACTGGACAACAATCCAACAAAACGGGTGGAATCGTTTGCTTTCAACGATGTGAGGATGGCGTATGACTTGTAAGGAACATTTACTTTTTTTCGTCGAATCTTACCAATATTAAGGCAAATATGACTTCAAACTCATCAGTTTATGCTCCGCTGAAACCTTATCATGCATATTTTAGAAGTACTACGAACATTCTGTGACTTTTTTTTTACTTTTCTTTCTCTTATAGGTCCCTGCCAAGTGCACATTTTAACACCATACCATCCTTTGCGTTCAACCAAGTCTCTGGACGTCATATGTAAGAAACGTACTTTGTTTGTACTGATTAACAAAGGGTGAGTCAAGAAAGCTGAGGCTTGAAAACGGAAGGTTTGCATGAATAATAATTAAAAAATTTGAAGGATTTTTGTAAAAGAAAACCTTTACATAATGTAAAATCTCTTCCCTGTTGTGCAGGTACTTACACGGAGGATCAGTTGCTGTTATCGAGTCTAATGCATTCTACACAGTTCGTCTGTCTGGAGATATGTTAGTATTACCTTCACCAAGCCTTGCAGAATATGTGAGAATAGAAACACTAATATCACAACAATACAATGTCTGCGTAGATACTATGTAGCATTACCTTTTGTTTATTTAGAACCTTCTTTAGAACATTGACTGTTTTTTTTGTTTATTTAGAACTTATTTCTTGTTCCGTATATTCCTCTATAAAAATTTGTACTGATGAAAGGTATCGGACAGTACCTGAAACGTCTACCTATTAAAATTCCAATCCAGTTTGAAGAGATTGAACTGCTCTATTATTTTATCATCACCCTGGATGAGTAATCTTCACCAACGTATGTAGCATACTGTTCTCAGTTATAGTTTACATGTATACAACAAAGATACGCCAAAAAACAGTTACTCAAGCAACTGGATATGATTTTGAAAACGTCAGACGTTTCAGCTAGTATCCACTAGCTTTCGTCAGTGACTGAGAGACCAGAGGGGAAAGCAGGTTTATAAGTACAACCTGTTGATTGATATGCAAATAAAGTGAAGACAAATTTTTGGAAGTCGAAAAAGGAACAAAAGTCAGACAAGTCAAGACAAAATGATGCAAATTAGTCTGAAAGCTCCTGTTATACTAGTGGATACTAGCTGAAACGTCTGACGTTTTCAAAATCATATCCAGTTGCTTGAGTGACTGTTTTTTGGCGTATCGTATTACCTGGATGTCTAACCTTCATCGACGTACAACAAAGATACACCAACACCCAGAGTAACAATCGAGATCAATCAAGTTTTTTAAAACTATGAAACACCTGAAAGAATTCAGAGCACTTTGTAACTATTCTGTTTGCAAGTATTTACAATAATCTTATTTCGTCCAAAGGAATCTTCAAAGTAATAACATATCTGTCATAAAGGAAAATGGATTCTACAAGGTCTCTTGCAGATACCTGTGAGTCTTTTTATGACATTTCTTTTGTTTAAATGTATCTGCGTCAAAAACAAATAACATAGAGGTAGTTAAGACTGCAAAAGCTAATCTGTGCTAGTGAACTTCTCCTTTTACAGACACCTGCACAACAACCCCCTGACAACATTGCGGCCTTTTGCCTTCGAAGACTTAAGAACCTCACATGACTTGTAAGAAAACACAACCTCCTTAACTAATAAGCTGCTGTTCAACATCATATTGAAGTCTTTCATTTTCAATATCTCATAGTTTCTTTCCTTCTTTTTATTATAGTATAGGCGAGATGACTTAAAATGTTGAAATACATTCTTTTCCCATTTTTTTTTCTTTCGTCAAGCGTAATGCACACCACCAAGCTCGAGGACATCCCTTCTTCAGCATTCAACGGGGTGTCTGCACGGAACTTGTAAGTTGTCTTGAAAGTTCATGTGTTGGTAGAAGTCATTATAAAGCAAGGTTGAATTCCAATGGCCAACAAAAAATATTGGATTCAAATTCTCGACTGTACGACTCTAGTCTTCGTCAAGGAATGAGCAATCCACTGCTTCCGTGACTGGGCATCTGGGCATTACAGCCATCCCTCAACAGGGACGGGGGGCGCCACAGACCTGCGTGATATCTGCGTGACGTCACGGAAGCGGTTTATTGCTCATTCCTTGACGAAGACTGGAGTTGTACAGTCGAAAATTTAGGCGAGTCCAATTTTTTTGTGTTGGCAATTGCAGTTCAATCTTGTTTTTATAAAACACTTGTAATTTTTTGGTGTTTTCAGTTGAAGTTTATGAGCTACACGAACGATCTAGATTGCTGTTCGTGAAAGCAGCGTCTTATTCGTTTTGATTTTTCAATTGGTCATGCTAAATAAATGCTTTTACTTCTTTGTCCAGGACAATTTTGAATAAATTGCTACATGACTAATAAACATAATTGTACCTACATTCTTTTTTTATCATTTCTGTAATAATTCAATTGTATTAATTTACAGTACAATGGTTTCCGGCCCTGTAAAATTTTCCTTGTATTTAATGACTTCATTTGTTAATGTATTAGTTTCCTTTGCAATATCTTTGTTTTCGTTAATTCATTTTCAATTACTATATTAGTCTCACGATATTCATTTATTTTTAATAATTTCATCTTTGATTTGGCCCTGTACAAGCCCCGAATGCCTCCTACCCCCTCCTGCACATTGTTTTTCTTTGATGTAATTTTCTATTAGGCCACACCAAGTAAATTTTATGGATGACGTCCTTTGGAGACCCTATATCTAATGCGAGAGGGCGAAAAAAAACAAGAAAGGCCCTAAAAAACAAGATGCCTAGATTAGAAATATACTAAGAGACGACAAATGTTAGGACACAAATTGAATGAGGTAACACAGTGTAACAAGCAAGAAGTCTTTTATTCATCATCAAAACAGCAATAAATCAGGTGGAACAGCAGTTGTCGTCCTGTCCTGTTTTCGCATTACGGGTTTCACGTCAATCTGACGATTTGCGGCACTGTTGTGACTCTTTGGTCATAGTTACAGGAAGCGGAATTTCTTGTTTTTTTTTCTAGGAACAGGCCAAAATCAATGCGCGCGCGGACGTCATCCATAAAATTTACTTGGTGTGGCCTTAATTTTTCAAACATGTACAGTTAAACAAAAACACGTATTTTGGTTCCCCAGATACTTATACAACAGCCCCGTGACAACTTTGGCATCTTTCTCCTTTAACAACACCAGGGTCAGCAACCACTTGTAAGACATATGTTACCTCTACATTTCATTAAAATTCCAATGTTAATAACATGTCAATGTATGTTTAAAAATAAATTGTATAATTATAATCACAGTTGTTCAAATATTCAACGTTTGACTTTTACGTATTTGTGAACACTTGGTATTTGATCAAAGACGTACTACGGACTGTGTGTATTATGATGATCATTTAATCATCAATGTTATAAAGTATTCCGCTAAAACAAATACATTGCAATATTACAAACCACAGGCACATACCATAGCATAACACGCGATGGGTTGGAAATCTTATAGATTGTGTAATTAGATATACACACAAAAAATTACGATAAGGCCATGTTGATTTGATTATATGGATGACATCCTCCGGGAGCCCCAAAACTGATGCGCGCGTGCGAATAAAAAAAAGTTTTGCAAAAAAAAGTTATTTTCATTATGAAATCTACGTGGTCATGAGGGTTGAGCACAGAATATGGTTTGACGAATAATCTAGTCTTCAAGTTCATTTCTTTACAATTTCGTCTTTTTTCGTTTGATTTTGGCATTCTACGACATTGGTATAGTTTTTATTAATTTTTCTGTAACTTTTTGCTCATTTTGCAACTATTTTGTACGATTTACAGTATGGTTGAAAACTTTTTTTTTTTGGAAACGGCCGAAAATTCATGCGCTCGCGGATGTCATCCATATAATCAAATCAACATGGCCTAAGCAATGATGTAATATGCATCATCTGGCATTCCTTCCACAGCTCAATGCACAGCTGTCAAATTGAGACAATCATGTCCCAAGCATTTAATGATGTTACAGCAGGGACTCTGTGAGTACAAAACAGTGTTTTTCAATGTGTTTGTCACTAAAAAAATATGCTTTACTTTTTAAGTACGTATAAATACATGTGCTATGCGGTACATCCGTAGTACATACTTATTCCATCAATCACAGAAAATGTCCAATCGTCAAATATGTTTCATATATTGTAGTAACTTGTGACAGATGCCAGGGTATACTTAAGAAGCAGTCTGAAAGAAGTAATACTCGTTTACAAATGGTTGTCCGTTTCTTCAGATCGCTGTACAACAATCCAGTAACGAGAACATTGGATTCTCTCGCCTTCACCAACATTAGAGTCACGGATGACTTGTAAGACACCACTTTTCTTGAATGATATTCACTGACGTTGTTTCAACATTATGATCCCACCTATGTAATGTGCAAAACATTGATATTGCAAACACGCCAGGTAACCTTTGACACCACATGCCCCAATGGCACCTGATTACTATATAATGTCGCCGTGTGTCAGTACTCTGTAAAACGGGGTAAACATTTCTAGTAACTATAACTATTAACCTACACAGAAACCCGGTGAAGACGCCCCTGCACTGAAGTCCTATGGAGTAAACCATTGCACAGAAAACCCAGGGGAATGATATAAAGCCTCCCTTATAGTCTCAGGGAGCAATCCCTAGCCAGCAAGGCCAGTGAGAATGGCCCAGTATCAGTATTTTAATGCTATATATTTTTTTTGCAAGGAATAAATTTAGGAAAGCAACTAACAGTGATAAGATAAGGATTGCTTTTAGAATTACGTACATAAAACAGGTGGATTGTATCACTCTACAGCTTGATGCACAGCTGTGCATTTTCGTCGATTGCTTCTCGCACGTTCAATGATGTCTCTGCAAGGAATCTGTAAGTATCGACATTTTGCATCTAAGCACCTTCATCATTATCAAGATGTCAATTGCAAATATGTCATGGAATTCCCATATTAATTACATATTATCCAAGATATCCAAAAGCATTGACCTCTTTAGTGGCCTTAAATTCAAACTACCTCGCAATACCCTCGAATCTCTTTACAAATCATATATACGCCCCTGTCTGGAGTATGGCGATGTCATCTGGCACGGGACGACAAGTGAGGAAGCACAACTCATTGAACGAATACAATATCACTGTGCCCTCGTCGTGTCAGGTGCCACTAGGGGTTCGTCTTACCTGTCAACTAGGCACGAACTCGGGTGGGAATCATTATCAGATAGACGACATGTTCATCGACTTTGTTTGTTTCACAGAATCGTTCATGGTTTAACTCGCAACTACTTGTCTGAAATATTACCCGCGGCCATTTTTTCATCATGTACATATGACCTACGCAACAAGATGAACTTAAGATCTCCTAGTTACTCAACCAATCGTTTTGCTAAGTCTTTTGTTCCGTACTCGACACACCATTGGAATAATCTTGATTTGTCAACTCGTTCTTTAAACTACTGTCATTTTCGAACCGCTCTCCTCAAAACCATTCGGCCTGTTAAGTTCAAATACTTTAGCCATGGTCCTCGTCTTGCCTGTGTACACCTCA